TCTAGCTGCTGGCAATCTCCCTTCTTCATATGAGCCTTCTATATTAAGAGAGAAAAGTCATAAGAATTGCATCATAATGATCAAAAACATTATAAATAACAGTAGAAAAACATGATGCAAAATGAACGTATCAATAACCAAAGGGTTACCTTGTCTCGGGGGTGGTGTGTGGGGGCATATGTTTGTTGGCAGAGAGGGGCACGTCTCCTAGAAACCCCATCTCCTGGTCAATTTTGGACAGACAACGGTGCTAGCACTGGTGACGCCACCGCTCAATTGAAATGGAGGGGGCGAGCGCCACTAGGCACCCACCGCCGACAACCATTGGGATGTAGTGGAGGTCCATCGTGGCGTCCTAGCAAGAAGAGCTCATATGATTTCAGCACGAACAGTAAAATCTAAAAATTGAAAGAAAAATCTAAAAAACATGGTGGAAAACATTGACCAATGTTTTGAGTGCTTGCCAAGTTTCATCAGGGACAGGCATTCGTTGAAGTCGTGGCAAAAAAAGAAAATTGGCACTCCAAAATGCTTTTGTTTTGGGGCAACGAATTTCCACTTCCACGAGTGTCATTCCCTTGTGAAACTTGGCAAGCACTCAAAACATTGGTCAATGTTTACCACCCAATTTTTTTTTCAGTTTTTAGGTTTTACTGTTCATGCCGAGATCATATGAACTCAAACTGAGATGGGGACTTTCCAACAACTTTGTTGTGAATGCAAACGGCATGCACATATAGGTGATATTTTTCTGGACATGTTAATATCTTATTCGCATTTTTCTGAGTTAGTGTGAAAAAATTATGAAGTTTTCAAAGTGACGGTCAAACGGTTAAAGGGCAAAAGCATAAGTCCAACAAAGTGTTTTGGACAGGAACGAGTGTTTTCGGAAACTAGGGGTAAACCCGTGTTACCCAACTAGGAGCATAAAACCAACTAATCTCTTTTATGTACACATTCCCTCTTCCTCCCAAATATATCAATGCGGCTGTCTCGTGAATTCTCGTTGACCTTTCGCGTGCAGTAGTCACCCAGTTGTTACACTCATAAATCCTTTTACCAATACAATCTAAACACTAATTGTTCTGTGTGGTTGGAGTGGATAATGGAAGTAAAACGTAGTTTTGCGCAAAAGAAGTTTCATCTTGATAGAATGAAAATTGCTACTCTTAGAGAAGGAACACATATATCCTACGCCGAAGGAGAAGCGCAGTTGAGCCCGAGAGACCACACTACCTATCAAGTGATGGGCACACGGATAGGTAGTGGAGCCCGAGAAGTGGAGTAGAATTTACTTAAGTTGATAAATAGTTGAGCAAATCACGTGATAGTGTGAATCCACCTGAATGAGTAGTACAAATGACGTCAGGGCATGGGTGAACATGCCGACGCACAAACTACAAGTTATGTCGGTACGTACAAATTACCAGAAAAAGAGGAATTTCAAGCTACGGTCTCAATCTGAGATTATTATATCAAATTTTTAATTATAATAATTAAATAATTCCATCTATGACGAGCAAGCGTCCCTCCCCGTCCTCGAGCTCATTGCTGACTTTTTCTTTTGAACAGTATACATGTCGATTTTGCCATGTCAATATCTAGGATTTGTGTTGTGTTACAAACCCATGATGCATTGGCCTACATAGATTGACATGCTCTAAGTTAGAAATTTAAAAGCGAAAAACTATTACACATGACAATTGAGCTAATAATAATAATAATAATAATAATAATAATAATAATAATAATAATAATACTCCCTCCATTCCCTTATACAAGGCCACTATCAAAAATACATTTTGTATCAATACAAGGCCACCAACAGTAATCGAGGCAAACATTTATGATGGTTTCTCGTACTTGCAACTTTTTAATACTTACATGCATATAGTCATAATGACACTCAGCCACTTCCTTTCCATTCACTCGTTGCATGCTTGTGGTGTATTAATGATCCCGGTTAACGAAAAGAAAAATTGACTTGCAAAGGAGTCATTAAATTTTATCTTGGTACCTGTAATATGAGTTTGTGGCATTGTATAAGGGAATGGAGGGAATAATAATAATAATAATAATAATAATAATAATAATAATTAAAAAAGGATAATTGAGCTAAAATCCAACAAACATGTCAATCACAATTGCTTTGCCAGCAGCCTAAAAAAACAATTGCTTTGCCAGCCCTTCCCTATGATAATAATTTACTAAAGACCATTTAATTTACTAAAGACATGTTTTTAGGCTGCTGGCATGGTTGGTAGCTAGCGGTTGCAGGAAACAGTTTTGGTGTGGATGTGCTACACAAGGAAAAAAATAGCACGCTCAAGCAAAATAGCACTGACCAAAAATACGCTATTAGTATGCTATATCACGTTAAGCGTGCTATTAGCGAGACGTTGTACACTAATATATAAAACGAGGCAATTCTCGATACGCTATAGCGTGCTATTAGCAACGCTATGGCGCGCTATTTTTTCAGTGGTGCTACAGCAAGCAAACGAAAACCAGTAAATTGACTCCCGAGCATCTATTGGAGGAAAGACCAGTAGAGAAAACAATACAAAAATTTCGACAGTTTTTTGGCATGGACTAGTATCCTTAAAATTGGTCTGTCTATGTCACATCTAGATATGAGATATTATCTCACATTTAACTCCCTCACCCTTAAAAATCATGGGAGGCTTTAAAAAAAACAAAGGTGAGTGAGTTAGGGTCAGTTCTTTTTTTTTTGGGTGAAAGGAAGATTTTATTTCATCAATTAGGACATAAGTCATTCTTACAAAATCAAGGACGTCTCCTAGTCCCGAACCCAACCACACCATAGTGTGACCTTCTGTCCGTCCAAAGGAGGCCAGATAATGGCTTGCACCATTCTGTTCCCTACGAACATGAGATAGCTTGAACATCCTCCCTTCCCTCAAAAGCCTTTGAATTTGATCAACCAACATGGTATAGCGAGACTGGTCCTTGTCCGGGCCATTAATCATGTTAAGAGCGACAAGGCAGTCCGTCTCTATTTCTATCGGCATCTCCGTCCATTGCAGGGCGAGGTTGATGCCCTCCATGCAAGCTGAGAGCTCAGCCTCCAACGGTTATGTACATGTGTGCAACTCTCTACAGGATGAGAAAATGATGTCACCGGTGGAGCCGCGCAGAATCATGCCCGCCCCCGCAGTTCCTTATGTGGCACAGAACGACCCGTCAACGTTCAATTTTGCCCATCCTTGAGCCGGAGGATACCACCTGGGTGGGGCACCATTGATGGGATGAGCATGCGGTAATGGCTTGTTGGGAGTCACCACATCCACAACTTGCTTTCCTTTAACTGGATCAACACCTGGGTTGTTCTGCACACCAATTAGTGAGTCCACGTAGCTTAGAAGATACCTCTTGGATGCTTCAACCGGGGGCGGCTGCTTATGGTGTTTTATCTCATTGCGAACGTGCCAGCAATGCCATAATGTCATCATGAGCTCCAATCTCTCCGTGTCCTGCAGGTCGCAAAGCGTTTGGGCAAGCCACTCAGGGCTCGTCCGTTGAAACGACGCTGGCAGGGGAATCCGCCACTGTTCTGCCATCACTTGCCAAAATGCCACCGCTCTAGGACATCTGCAAAATGCATGAAACGTGTCCACCGGCTCCATCGCGCAGAGGGGGCAGTGGTCAAATACTTCCAAACTGCGTTGTTTTTTATTAACCCATGTAGGTAGACAATTTGTGATCAAACGCCAAGTGAAGGTGCGAACCTTAGGAGGAGCAGGGCACCTCCATATAGAAGCCCAGATGGATCGTCGCCCATCCGGTGCCCTGCTCGCCGTGACTGAAGAGGATCGAAGATGGTCCTCCAGAGCAAGTCGGTAAGCACTCCGTACTGTGAAGCAACCATTCCACTCCGGTCCCCACGCAAGAAGATCCTTACGCATACGAGGTGAAGTTCGAATTTTGGCAATCTCTTCTGCATCCACCGGAAGGAACGTGTCATGAATACCGTCCATACGCCAACCACCATGATTATCCAACAACTCAGACACCCGGCGGAGACGGCGTCGGCCTTGTGGTGTCACCGGTCGTCCTCCCCCATCCCGTGGAATCCATCCATATTTTTTTTGGTCGATTCTCCCAGAATTGCCCCCCTCCCCAGCTTCTCCCAGAATAGCAACTCCATATTTTTTTTCACAATCCTGTGCATTCAACTCGAGGCCCATCTGATGGCGCGCTGGGAGCTCCTTCCTCCTCCACTGGTCTGGCCTGGCTATAAAATCTCTGCTAGCTTCCGATACTTGGAGTTGCGCCACCCCAGGCGACGTTGTTTCCCATCTGGCCATCATGCAAAGGCAAGGCGTGATGCTAACCACATCTCTCACGCGCGCCACGACAGGTGCAGGCTCGGGACCACGACCGTGTCTGAGGTGGCCGCCGTCGTGCTGATGATACTGTGTAGGTCCCTCCCTTTGTTGCACCGGCGATCATGGTAGGCTCCGGCTCCTCGAGTGATGCAGCGGACCGTCCCCTGGAGCTTCTACTCATCCAGGCTCCGCCGCTCCCTAAAGATCGCGGATGTGGCCGTCTGTGCTCTTCTCGCCGTCAGTCCCAAGAAAACCTCTCCACGCCTGCTCCCCACTACTCTCCTGCACCAGGGTGCTCCCCCAATCACGATGGACAAAGCGAGATGATCCAAGGCAGTCCCAGGCTACTCGCGACGCAGCGAGGCATGCCAAGGCAAAACATTGGGTGACCACGGGTGCCCAATCATTTTGCGAGGGTGGCAAATCTTATGCCTCCGTTTTGAAAATAAAAACAAAAAGGAAACCAACCCAAAACCATACAGCATGAAGACCGGCAACACAGTTCAAGAGTTTTAGCAAAATGCTCAGACTAACTAAAGCCACAAGCAATGTTCTTAAAGCCGAGTAAAAAGTAGTAGTAATTAGAAAGAAGCATGCATTAATTACCTTGTCAAGCCTTTACGTCCAAGAGATTCGACCATGCTGCCGATTCTACCTTGAACTGCTTTCTCCATGCTGTCAACATATATAGGAAGCCCATAGTTATTAGTTGTGTGGATTACCGTAATAGTTATATCTGTCTGCACCAAGGTTTAGGGCCAAGACAGTAAATCCCAACAATTATACGTACTACTATTGGCGATTCCCAAGGGGATGGGTTATTGAAACTGACAGGGGTAAGTGGACACTTAAGGCTGACAAGTTAATTAGAAACTCACCTTTGTTAGAACAATGGGCAACTCTTTATCTTCATCCCCCCCGAGAAATTGGACATCGCTAACGTTGACACCTTGAGTCACAATTCCATTCCACACAAAAAGCTTGTCTGTGCATTGCATGTCTTCCGTTTCATATTCCTTTAGGGTCCTTCTTACCTTGATTACTTTGGTGGACTGTGGTGACAGGATCCCTGCATGCGGTTCTATTCTGTACGACGCGGAATTTTCTTTACGAGACAATGTATTGAAACCGACAGTGTGATCTGTAACATTGACTATTTTAAGCAAGCGCAACATGGACGCCCTCATGTTGGAAAGGAATGTGAACTGGAGATGTGGAGGATCAAACTGAATCAACTCATCTGAGTTGCATAAGCTGCTTGTCTGCAAAAAAGAAGGGGAACAATGCAGCTGTTTCAATTCAACAAGTCTGAGGATTTTAATGAAGACAAAAAAGATATAAGACAAGCCGAATTGTGTGCGAGTAGCAGGACAAATGTTTTGTTTTATATTTCAAAAAAATGGAGGTAGCAGGACAAAAAAATGTTGCAAAGCTAACAAATGAAAAAAAGAAGTTAACCAACGCACGCTCTTTGAGCTTTGAAGGATTCTGCTGTATATCATGCTCGTGATTCCAGATGGGATCAATAGTAATTACTCCTCTGTACCGAAATATTTGTAATTAGGAAATATTTCGGTACAGAGGCAATTAATTTTTTAACACATTCATTCATTGCATAATTATTATGGAACTTACCATGTTAGTATAAACAATTGGCAACTCCTTACCCCCTTCGTATTTGGGCCAGTCATAAAGGTCGATGGCTTTGGTACCTTCACTCACTAAGCAACTCCATACAAGGAACTTATCGTCTTGGCATTGCATGTCTTCCTTTTTCTTTGGTACCCTTTTTACAACGAGCCTTTGAGTGGACCCTGGTGGCATAACTGCACCGCAACGATATGGGTAGTACAGGGCCACATTTGTTTCTAGGTTATGTGTACGAAAACCAACATAGTAGTCTGTACTGTTGACTACATTAACTGAAAAAACCAAGGGCTTGTTTGGCATCAAGGGGAGGCTGAGCTCAAGCGGGTCAAACTGGATCAGCTCCTTTGAGCTACATGTCGGGCTTGCCTGCCATGCCAAGAAACAAAATCATCATCAGTTTGGTTTTACTCATTTAAATAGATCATCATTTACCAAACAAGAAAATAAATTTTGTGTAATTAGGAACTCACCTTATTAACAATAATAAAGGGCAGTTTCTTACTCTCTTCCTCAACCATGTAACCGGTGATGTCTATGCTTTCGACACCTTCAGTCACAACACGGCTCCACACAAAGATATCATCCGTCTCATCAATTGTCCAATGTAGCATTTGTCTATTAGTGGATCGTGGTTCCAGGATTCCTTTCGATATTGATTCCTTGTCCCGCGTTGCATTCCTGCTGATGACATATACATTGAAAGCAACGTAGAAATATGTAGTGTTGCCTACATTTACTATGAACTTAATTTGCTTGTTTGGCAAGTGGGGTATGCAGAGCTCCGCGGGATCCAACTGGATCAGCTCATCTGAGGTTAATGAGCTTATCTGCGAAATAAACACGACTTTCACGCAATGAGAAAAAAATCTTCACCTCTCGAATATATAAAGATGGACTAGAAGTTTGTCACCATCAGCAACAAAATATCACCAGTGGGTTTGTAGCGCATCAATCGTCACAGAGAGATGGATTCAGTGATCATTTGACTACTTAGCCCCGCCTCCTCCCATAATTATGGGAGGGAGGGGGGGAGACGGTAGTAGTATGAAATTAAAGCTTAATCAGAAATCACAAGTGGGTCACCATGTTTAGATGCCATTCATTATGAATATAGTACTCTCTCCATTCCATAATATAATGCATCCGCTCTTTCTGAGATTTAAATTTGACCAAAAATTTAACCAACATGGACGACTGCTGCGGGAGCAAAAACTATACCATTGCAACTTCTTTCGAATACGAATTCAATGGTATAATTTTTGCTCCCACCGCAGTCGCCCACGTTGGTTAATTTTATGGTCAAACTTAAATCTTGAAAAGCACGAGCGCACTATATTATGAAATGGAGGGAGTAACATATACTACTATTCATGATTTATGATACTCACATTATGAGTTTCCTTCCTGTCTACCAAATACAGGCGCGGTCACTAAATATTCATTGGAAATATAGTCTAGTTTGAATAGTTAAGGGTATGGATTTTGACTTATGACGTGTTGTGGGGGTTAGGTTGGGGTTGGTGTTGGGTTTTACTACTGAACCAACTTGACGGGGGTAAATTTCTATCTTAGATCTGGTGAAGGGGTTGGCAGGTGGACATGTCCGATGGAATGATCTGTCCGGATCTGAAGTAGGTTGCAAGTGGTTTGGCCGATGTGTGGGCTCGAGGATCAGTGAGTCAGATCCGGGTGAAGACCAGGAATTCGAGCGATGTTGTGGCCGCGAGAAGACCATGGTTGTTGGCTCTTCAGCATGTCTGCTAGATTGTCTCGGGTTGTTTTTGTTGCAGAAAAGTCCGTGTAGTGATGGTGACATGCGACAGGTGGTCTGGTCGGTGATGTACCGCAGCACCAGCCTTGCATATCTCCATCCGTAGCTTTTCTCATAATCGGAGCTGCATTGCCTAAATTGCATGTGGCTGATTGCTTGACTTCGATCTCCATGACTTCGCGCGACCTTTGCCGTGTCTGCTTTCTCGATGATTGCTTGTGGTGGAGTCAGAGATGTTTGCTTGAGGAGAAATGATGACAATGATGGCAATGTGCTATGTTTATGATGTTTTGTTCTCAACGGCGTGCGTGCGTGCGTGCGTGCCGGGTCAGGAACCAGGCCATATGGGCGTTGTATCGGTTTTCTTCTAGTCTTCCGCTAATTAACCAAGCCAGTCTCTTCTTCTTAAGTAGTGAAATGGAAAATCTTTTGCCTTGTTTAAAATATCCTCAAAACTAAATCTATGTCAATACAATATTGAAAAGTTACTATTGCAATATTAGGCAATGTGTAATCAAAATACAGTTCTAAATCGTGCAATAGCTATTAAATAGAACTCATTAGTCTACATCAGAGTTAGAAAACAGATTGTGATGCCATGTAGCCTAGTTTATTTGTAGGCTTTGAAGTAGATCACTAGAGTTGGAAAAAGATATAAGCGTTGTTAGTTCATGATGGTATCGACAAGAAAAAACATTGCCTTTTGAAATTTAGAATTTCTATACAGCTAATTAGAAATATGCATGAAGTAACTATAAGAATTTACGTGATGTCGCAATTCTACAAGTTTAAACTGAAATTATAGAGAAATGTCATGTTGGCAACCATATGCTGTTTATTTAATGAGATCCGCAACACCTGTTATGATCTAACATCCGAGAAGCACCTATGTTAGTTTCTTTATGCCAAAATATTACAAAGTGTTGGTTATGTAATCATGACAACAATATTCAACATTTACTTTTACTAGTAAAAGTTTGTGTGTTCTATATAGCCAGCCAACCAGGTGCCTTTATCCACCTTCGTTGTGTTGCAAATATTTTGGCAGCTGGTTGCGAAACATTGATTGCAAGAGTAGCATCCTCATAGGGGTGGGTCTGGTTGGTGTATTAGGGATGGATATGTAGAGTTGTTTCCATATTCTTTCTCCTTTTTTCTCTTGTAGTTTTTGTTTGAACTAAATTTAATCATGTTTGATCAAAAAAATTGACAAATGTTTGATAATTTACCAAATTTTAGTGGGTCCCTTTCATTTCAAAATAAAAAACCATGGGAAAGCAAAGATGCACTCTATCAGTTTTTTTATAATAAATAGAGTAAATAATCATGAATTTCCCCTCAAGAAAAATAGTTAACTAACCTTGTCGAGAACAATGGGCACCTCTTTGCTCTCTTGTTCATCCGTGTAATCACTAGGTTCGCTGTCTTTGACACCTTCAGATAAAATGCCAGTCCACACAAAGTACTTTTCATTGAACTGCTTATATTTTAATGCATCTTTCTTTTCTTCTCTTGTTACCATAAGTTTTTGTGTGGATCGTGGTGGCAGGATTCCTCCCGGTGGCTCTGTGTGGTACCATGCCCTATTTGTTGGCCTGCTGTATGTCTTGAAACCAACATTGTAATCTGTAAGGTTCACTATCTTAATTGAGGACAACACCTTCTTTTTTGGCAAAGTGGGAAAGTGAAGTTCTGGTGGATCAAACTGGATCAACTCCTCTGAGATAGATGAACTTGTCTGTTCAACACAACATAGCATGTATAAATTCGGAAGGGTAAAATATGCAATTAGAGAACACAATGCGAGAGATTGATTACAAGGGGAAAATTTAATAAAATGGCTTGTGCATCAGTTGGCGCAATGGACAGCGTTCGGTCCCATTTTCAAAACACGTTCGGTCCCCTTTTCAAAACATAGCATAACAGTTGTATATATGTACCCAGGTTTGCGGAAAATACAGTCAAACACTAAGCATATGCTATTCTATTCAAGAAACTACTACCCATGTTCCTGAAATAAGGCCGATAAAATTTTAAAAGTCAAACAATTTAACGTTTTACTTTGTTTTTAGAAAGAACACATTAATATGTACAATACCTCCCCTCCACTCCCGAGGCGCTCCCGCGGGCGCCCTTGGGAGGGAAACCTAGTGCTGCCGCCCCCGTCCCTTTGCCCAATCCCCCCTCCCTCGCCGCCGCCGGTGGCGTCGCCGGCCAAAGGCCGCATGGCGCAGGCGGCGGCGGGGTGGCTCTCTCCCTCGCGCGGGTGGCGGACATCGCGGGACGGCATCCCCTGCTCGGTGGCGTCGGGCGCCGGCTTGCCTCTGCTCTGGCTTCCCTCCTCCGCCTCGCTCCCTGGTGACCTGTCGGCGTCGCCTCCTCTCCTCCTCCCCCCTCCACCTCGGCTCGTGGGGTTTTGGAGGCCCGGAGGCGTGCTGGCGGCGGATCTGGCGCCCCCTGCCCAGATCCGGCAGGTGGTGGCGGTTGGCGGCTGCAGGGGTGATCGGCGGCCCCTCCAAGGTGGTGGTGCTGCAGCCGGGGTTCATCCTCTCCAGTGGGGTGGCTGGACACCGGCTGGACCTGGCCAGGGCATAGAGACGCGGGGGGGGTGTGCGCGCGGCCGGTCTCTTGCTAGATCCGTCCGGATCTAGCGTTGGGGGCCGGCCGGTTGCGTGTGGATTCGGTGGTGCGTGCCCGGCGGCTACGGCGCTTGGAGCTCGCCAGGCGACGCGGGTAGGGTAGCGGTCGGGTGTGGCCACTGCTCCGGCCATGGGCCGTGCCGTGGGGAGGTCCGACGGTGGTGCTCTCCCGGTGTCGTGGCGGCTTCACGGTGGTTCGACGAATCTGCCCGCGGTGGCGGCCGGCTTCTCCGGCGTCTGCTTGTCTGTGTTCGGACCGTCTCAGCCTTCGCCCCATCTCCTCGTCGCCCGGGCGTTGCTCCCATCAATGGGCTGGTCCTCTCCTAGCTGCGGTCTACCGCTCGTCTCGCGCCCAGTGTTGCAGGACCAAGCTCGTCTCGCACACGATGCAGCAGGACTAAGCTTGTCTCGCGCACGGTGCAGCAGGACTGACCTCGTCCCCTTTTTGGTGCTGCAGGACCAAGCTCGTCTCGCGCACGGGACCGCAGGACGGGCCGGTTGATGCCAGCTCTGTCCGACCTATCGGGTCTCGACGCTGGGGTCGCCCACGGGTGCGAACGGTGGGACCTTTCCGCTCGTCTCTTTTGTTGGGGTTGTGGCGGGTCTCCGGTGAGGTGGTGTCTAGGTCTTGGATGCCGGGGCGGCGGCCCTGGTGGTGGTTGCGCGGTGCTCTTGGGGAAAGCCCGTGCCTTGGTGCTGCCCGGTCATCATGGCCATGTGGGCGGCATGGTTGCCGGGGTGTGGTGTTTGCTGGCAGTAAGTGTTGGCCGAGGTGAAAACCTGCTCTATCTTCGGACGGACCGGCGGCGGCGGAGATCGTTCCCTTTTTGAAGGCGTCGTCGCGGCTCTCATTGCCCATCATGCGGCTCCAGGGGAAACTCGGATCCTTGGATCAAGCGGTGGCGGCACTCCAGTGTCGTACCCTTCCTAAAGGTGCCGCCTTGGATCACATGGTCTGTCATATGTAGCTTCATCTGTTCGTGGTGGTAGTGCTAGGGGTGGTGTTGCTGCGCTCAGCGCCTATGTATCCTGCCCTGGGTGTTTGCGCGTGTTGTGGTGGTGTGTGCTTGTACTAGGTGCTTGTTGTGATCGGTACTTTATATATAAAGCGGGGCGAAAGCCTTTTTCGGTATATGTACAATACATCATGACATATATTTTAGTGGGATATAGTTGCTGATTGTTTTTTTTTTCTGAAAACTTGGTCAGACTTTACATTATTTGATATTTTAGAAAACTTATAGGCCTTCGTTTCAGAAACGGAGGTGGTAGTAAGCAAGTAGTTGTTGTCATTGGCAGCACATTTGGTTCAATATTCTTCAAAACTACATATGGCTCTTCTTATCCTTCATGAATCTACTAGTGTTCTATTTCTGTTTGTCGCGATTCATATTTTTAGAAGTGGAGGCTAATCAAAATAAGTATGCTCAAAAGTGTTCTAGTTGAGCCATATGAAGCTCAGTAGCAATAGAAAAAGTAAAAGGTATGGGAGCTCCAAAGGTCAGCACCTGAGGACATTGATGGGGATATTTAGGTCTTTCAATGTGTCCGAGAAGAAAAACAAAAAGGAAAAAAAAATAAGACATATTCATTACATGTAGAGAACTCACCTGTGTAAGAACAATGGGCAACTTGGTACACTTTGTCTCGGACATGTTATCAATATCTCTGGCTTTCGGATCTTCAGTTACAATGCCGCTCCACACCAAAAACTTGCCTTTGCACTCAGTGTCTTCTGGTTCCTTTCCCTTTGCTATCCTCTTTACCAGGATTACTTGTGTGGACAGTGGTGGCAAAATTCCTTGCGACGGATTTGCGTTGTACCATGCTGAATTGCTTTCCTTGGTGCATACACCGAAACCGATGTACTGATCTGTAATATTGACTATGTTAGTTGACGACAACACTATCTGGTTTGGCAACAGGGGAAAGCTGAGCTCGGGAGGATCAAACTGAACCAACTCGGTTGAGCTTGTCTGCAAAATGGAACACATATAGCAGTGGATTAGTTGGTGCCTGAGAAACATTCAGGCAGAGAACTTTTAGTATTTGGTTCATCCAACACTCGCACTCAGCGCGGAAAACAATTTGGAGTGGTCTCGACGGGCGCATATCTTGTCTAGTTTTAACAGTTGAGAGTGTCTAGTTTAGGTGTTTGAGAGACATGTTGTCATCTTGTCGCGTAAAGTACATCAGCATATAAAATAAGGATGAGGCAGCGGGCGAGACTCTCTAACATCCATCTCGGAAACGCCAATCCATCTACGAGCAATGGTGGTACAAGTAGGAAAAGAAAAAAAAAGAGTAAGAGCAATGTGTTTCTGTAGTTAGGGAATTAACTTACCTTAGTAAGAATTAAGGGCAACTCCATGCTCAGCTCTATCTCCAGAGACAATGGCATTCCATATAAAGAGCTTGTCGTCGTTCCTTGGAAATCGAGGTCGCTGACTTTGACGCCTTCACTGACAATGGCATTCCATATAAAGAGCTTGTCGTCGTTGTACTGTGTATCTTGTGTTTCCTTTTCATTTATTAGCCTTGCTACGACGAGTCTTTGATCAGACCGTGGTGCTAAAATTCCTACTTCAGTAACCAGATGGTAGGTCACGGCCTCATCTCTTCCAGGCATAATAAACAGATGAAAACCAACATAGTAATCGGTGAGGTTGACAATGTTAATTGAGGACAAGCCTGTGTGGTTTCGCGGAAAGACGAGCCGTGCAGGATGGTCCAATCGGATCACCTCGTCTCCTGAGGTTGAGGTACCTGCAGGGCTACTTATCTGCAGAAAATGGACACAACTCATGATTCCAGTTACTCCCTCCGTCTTTTAAAGAGTGTACTTCCAACATTATTGAAAAGTCAAACTTTTTATGTTTGACTGTATTTATACAATAATGCACCAACATTTATGACATCAAACTAATAGCATTAGATTCGTAATAAATATATTTTCATCATATACTTATTTGGTTTCACATACATTGATATTTTTTGGCACAAACTTGGTTAAACATTGAGATAGTTTGACCTTCCAACAAAGTTAGAAGTATACTCTTTGAAGGACGGAGGGAGTACTACTTAAGCTCCTTTATTTTTATTAGGCGGGATCAGAGAGACAAAACTTATACACGAGTAAAAAAAAAAAGGGCACTCACGTTATTATTGTTAAAAATGAAGGGCAACTCCTTGTTGTCTTTAGCACTGCAGTGACCCTTCAAGCTGCAGGATTCGACACCTTGAGCCACAATCATGTTCCACAAAAGTATGCTTTTTTTGCACTTAATGTCCTCTTCATTGGGTACCCATTTTACAAGCATTCTTTGAGTGGACCGTGGTGCCAGAATCCCTCGACGTGTCTCTGTCTCGTAGCACCCAGACAACTCCTTCAAACGGCAAATATTGAAACCAATGTAGTAATCTGTAATGTTGACTATATTAACCGAGCAGAGTGAAGCCTTGTTCGGGGGGCAAGGGAAGCTTAGCTCGGGTGGATCAAACTGGATCAGCTCATTTGATGAGGTGGTACAAGAAGAGTTTGTCTGCAAAATTGAAGGCAAGCAATCGTAGGTGGATTATGTTGGGGAACGTAGCAGAAATTCAAAATTTTCCTACGCGTCACCAAGATCTATCTATGGAGAAACCAGCTACGAGTAGAAGGAGAGTGCATCTACATACCCTTGTAGATTGCTAAGCGGAAGCGTTCAAGTGAACGGGGTTGATGGAGTCGTACTCGTCGTGATTCAGATCACCGATGATCCTAGTGCCGAACGGACGGCACCTCCGCGTTCAACACACGTACAGCTCGACGATGTCTCCCACGCCTTGATCCAGCAAGGAGAGAGGGAGAGGTTGAGGAAGACTCCATCCAGCAGCAGCACAACGGCGTGGTGGTGATGGAGGAGCGTGGCAATCCTGCAGGGCTTCGCCAAGCACCTACGGGAGAGGAGGAGGTGTCACGGGAGGGAGGGAGGCGCCAAGGGCTCAGGTGTGGATGCCCTCCCTCCCCTCCACTATATGTAGGGGCAGGGGAGAAGGGGGAGGCGCAGCCTTGCCCCTTACTCCAAGAAAGGGGTGCGGCCAAGAGGGGGGGGGGGAGGAGTCCATCCTCCCCAAGGCACCTCGGAGGTGCCTTCCCCCTTGAGGACTCTTCCCTCTATGGTTCCCTAGGCGCATGGGCCTCTTGGGGCTGGTGCCCTTGGCCCATGTAGGCCAAGGCACACCCCCTACATCCCATGTGCCCCCCGGGGCAGGTGGCCCCACCCGGTGGGCCCCCGGGACCCTTCCGGTGATCCCGGTACAATACCGATGACCCCGAAACTTGTCCCGATGGCCGAAACAGGACTTCCTATATATAAATCTTTACCTCCGGACCATTCTGGAACTCCTCGTGACGTCCGGGATCTCATCCGGGACTCCGAACAACATTCGGTAACCACATACAAGCTTCCTTTATAACCCTAGCGTCATCGAACCTTAAGTGTGTAGACCCTACGGGTTCGGGAGACATGCAGACATGACCGAGACGTTCTCCGGTCAATAACCAACAGCGGGATCTGGATACCCATGTTGGCTCCCACATGTTCCACGATGATCTCATCGGATGAACCACGATGTCAAGGACTTAATCAATCCCGTATACAATTCCCTTTGTCTAGCGGTATTTTACTTGCCCGAGATTCGATCGTCGGTATACCGATACCTTGTTCAATCTCGTTACCGGAAAGTCTCTTTACTCGTTCCATAACACATCATCCCGTGATCAACCCCTTGGTCACATTGCGCATATGATGATGTCCTACCGAGTGGGCCCAGAGATACCTCTCCGTTTACACGGAGTGACAAATCCCAGTCTCGATCCGCATAAAACAATAGATACTTTCGGAGATACCTGTAGTGCACCTTTATAGTCACCCAGTTACGTTGTGACGTTTGGTACACCCAAAGCACTCCTACGGTATCCAGGAGTTACACGCTCTCATGGTCAAAGGAAGAGATACTTGACATTGGCAAAGCTCTAGCAAACGAACTACACGATCTTTGTGCTATGCTTAGGATTGGGTCTTGTCCATCACATCATTCTCCTAATGATGTGATCCCGTTATCAACGACATCCAATGTCCATAGCCAGGAAACCATGACTATCTGTTGATCACAACGAGCTAGTCAACTAGAGGCTCACTAGGGACATATTGTGGTCTATGTATTCACACGTGTATTACGATTTCCGGATAATACAGTTATAGCATGAATAAAAGACAATTATCATGAACAAGGAAATATAATAATAATACTTTTATTATTGCCTCTAGGGCATATTTCTAACAGTCTCCCACTTGCACTAGAGTCAATAATCTAGTTCACATCGCCATGTGATTAACACTTACAGGTCACATCGCCATGTGACTAACACCCAAGAGTTTACTAGAGTCAGTAGTCTAGTTCACATCACTATGTGATTAACACTCAATGAGTTTTATGTTTGATCATGTTGCTTGTGAGAGAGGTTTTAGTCAACGGGTCTGAACCTTTCAGATCCGTGTGTGCTTTACAAATCTCTATGTCATCTCCTAGATGCAGCTACCACGCTCTATTTGGAGCTATTCCAAATAACTGTTCTACTTTGAGCTATTCTAAATTATTGCTCCATTATATGTATCCGGTCTCTCTACTCAGAGCTATCCGGATAGGTGTCAAGCTTGCATCGTCGTAACCTTTACGACGAACTCTTTTACCACCTCCATAATCGAGAAAATTCCTTAGTCCACTAGTTACTAAGGATAACTTTGACCGCTGTCCTGTGAGCCATTCTTGGATCACTCTTGTACCCCTTGACTGACTCATGGCAAGGCACACTTCAGGTGCGGTACACAGCATAGCATACTGAAGAGCCTACGTCTTAAGCATAGGGGACGACCTTCGTCCTTTCTCTCTATTCTGCCGTGGTCGAGCTTTAAGTCTTAACTTCGTACCTTATAACTCAGGCAAGAACTCCTTCTTTGACTGGTCCATCTTGAACACCTTCAAGATCATGTCAAGGTATGTGCTCATTTGAAAGTATTATTAAGCATTTTGATCTATCCTTATAGATCTTGATGCTCAATGTTCAAGTAGCTTAATCCAGGCTTTCCATTGAAACACCTTTCAAATAACCCTATATGCTTTCTAGAAATTCTACATCATCTCTGATCATCAATATGTCAACAACATATACTCATCAGAAATTCTATAGTGCTCCCACTCACTTCTTTGGAAATACAAGTTTCTTATAAACTTTGTATAAATCCAAAATCTTTGATCATCTCATCAAAGCGTACATTCCAACTCCGAGATGCTTACTCCAGTCCTTAGAAGGATTGCTGGAGCTTTGCATACTTATTAGCATCTTTCGGGATTGACAAAACCTTCCGGTTGTATCACATACAACCTTTCCTCATTAAAATCGTCGAGGAAACAATGTTTTGACATCCTATCTGCAAGATTTCATAAATAATGCAGTAATCGCTAATATAATTCCAACAGACTCTTAGCATCGCTACGAGTGAGAAAATCTCATCGTAGTCAACTCCTTGAACTTGTCGGAAAACATCTTAACGACAAGTCGAGCTTTCTTAATGGTGACATTTACCATCATTGTCCGTCTTCCTTTTGAAATCCATCTGTACTCATTAGCCTTACGACCATCGAGTCGTTCTGCCAAAGTCTACACATACATGGATCCTCTCTCGGATTTTATGGCCTCAAGCCATTTATCGGAATCCGGGCCCACCATCGCTTCTCCATAGCTCGTAGGTTCATTGTTATCTAGCAACATGACTTCCAAGACAGGATTACCGTACCACTCTGAAGTAGTACGTATCCTTGTCACCCTACGAGGTACGGCAGTGATTTGATCCGAAACTTCATGATCAATATCATAAGCTTCCACTTCAATTGGTGTAGGTGCCACGGGAACAACTTCCTGTGCCCTGCTACACACTGGTTGAAGTGATGGTTCAATAACCTCATCAAGTCTCCACCATCCTCCCACTCAACTCTTTCGAGAGAAACTTTTCCTCGAGAAAGGACCCGATTCAAGAAACAATCCATATTGCTTTCGGATCTGAATTAGGAGGTATACCCAACTGTTTTGGGTTTCCTATGAAGATGCATTTTATCCGCTTTGGGTTCGAGCTTATCAACCTGAAACTTTTTCATATAAGCGTCGCAGCCCCAAACTTTTAAGAAACGACAACTTAGGTTTCTCTAAACCATAATTCATACGGTGTCATCTCAACGGAATTACGTGGTGCCCTATTTAAAGTGAATGTGGTTGTCTCTAATGCCTAACCCATGGACAATAGTGGTAATTCGATAAGAGACATCATGGTACGCACCATATGCAATAGGGTGCAACTATGATGTTCGGACACACCATCACACTATGGTGTTCCAGGCGGTATTAATTGCGAAACAATTTCCACAATGTCTTAATCGTGTGCCAAAACTCGTAACTCAGATATTCATCTCTATGGTCATATCATAGACATTTTATCCTCTTGTCACAATGATCTTCTACTTCACTCTGAAATTATTTGAACCATTCAATAATTCAGACTTGTGTTTCATCAAGTAAATATTCTCAACATCTACTCGAATCATCTGTGAAGTAAGAACATAACGATATTCACTGCATGCCTCAGCACTCATTGGACTGCACACATCAAAATGTGTTACTTCCAATAAGTTGCTATCTTGTTCCATCTTACTGAAAATGAGGCTTTTCAGTCATCTTGCCCATGTGGTATGATTTGCATATCTCAAGTGATTCAAAATCAAGTGAGTCTAAACGATCCATCTGCATGGAGTTTCTTCATGCGTATACACCAATAGACATGGTTCGCATGTCTCAAACTTTTCAAAAACGAGTGAGTCCAAAGATCCATCAACATGGAGCTTCTTCATGCGTTTTATACCAATATGACTTACATGGCAGTGCCACAAGTAAGTGGTACTATCATTACTATCTTATATCTTTTGGCATGAAAATGTGTATCACTACGATCGAGATTCAATAAACCATTCAGGTTTAATACTAATCTTGATGGTAGAGGGAGCGTGCGATGCTTGATCATATCAACCTTGGAAACACTTCCAACATATATCGTCAGCTCACCTTTAGCTAGTCTCCGTTTATTCCGTAGCTTTTATTTCGAGTTACTAACACTTAGCAACCGAACCGGTATCCAATACCCTGGTGCTACTAGGAGTACTAGTAAAGTACACATTAACATAATGTATATCCAATATACTTCTATCGACCTTGCCAGCCTTCTCATCTACCAAGTATCTAGGGTAATGCTGCTCCAGTGGTTGTTCCCCTTATTACAGAAGCACTTAGTCTCGGGTTTGGGTTCAACCTTGGGTTTCTTCACTAGAGCAGCAGCTGAATTGCCGTTTCATGAAGTATCCCTTTGTTCCCTTGCCCTTCTTGAAACTAGTGGTTTCACCAACCATCAACAATTGATGCTCCTTCTTGATTTCTACTTTTGCGGTGTCAAAC